CCCCCCGCATACACACCGTCCGACCCGCAGGCGCCGGGCCGCACCCAGCCGCGGCCGGCCTCCTGCGCGCGTCCCCGTGAGCCGCCTCCAGGAACCTGTGAATCAGAGAATGAATGAGCCGAGAGGAAAATCCCGCCTCGGTCCCGCCCTCCGTTGCCCTTCCCGGTGGCTCCCGTCTGAGGGTCTTGGGAGTCTGAGGGACGACAAGCAGACCGGTCAGGGGCTATGCACCTTTGCCTGCCGTCCAAGTACTCAGTATCCAGAAAATAGCCCCGGGCTAACTCAGACACCCACGGTTAAATGTGAGAGCACTGCTTTAGGAAATCCCGTTTTAGCCCCAAACTGCAGTTTCAGGAATCAGACACCCCGCTCATCTCTACACGTCAAAGCCTGCTCATCTGGGTCCCCAGTTTCTGTCCTCCCTTATTGAAGCTGTTCGTAGTACGGGTGTTGTCATTTTATATCCCCGAGTATTTCACTTAAATAGTGAATTTGCTCCCAAGCTCCGTGAGGATACTGCTTATTTTTATGCAGATTCGACTCAGGCCGACTTAGATTTCTTTCGATTTACGTCCTTATTACGACCTTCATATAAAGTTGATCAAAGAAAAGAAAAAATAGTATTAAATTACCTCTGCTTGGCTATATACTTTGTTAGCACTAAAGAAATTGAACTGTGATCTGGAATTGGCTGTGTTGAACATTGAGCATTCTTTTTCCTGTCTTCTTGTTAGCTCTTTAACAGTTTGTGTATTTTGAATTTTCACCTCCCTCCCCCCCCCCCAAAAAAGAGAGACCATGTCTTTCTGAAATTCTGACTCTCTAAGAATGAGTGTTCATTTCTCTATTCTAGGAGCAAATCCTAGTTTGATTAAGTGCATTCTCCTTCCTGATATTCTTAATGATTTCCAAGTGGTTTCAGTCCTACTTTACAATCTTTTCCAACCTGGTGCACAATCTGTCCAAACTGGCCTTAGAACCGTACAAGTATTTGGCTGTTCCACACTTGAGATGCCTGTACTTTGGAAATACATGCAATATATACTTTAAGTTTAGTAGGTTCTTCAATAATCTGGTGTAAGATAACATCGTCTAATAAACTAAAAATAGTGAAGGTGACCAATTTTTATGGTCTCTCTTCCTTGTTGAATTCGCCATTTGTTACCTGTAATTATTTCAATGCGCTGTGTTTTTCCCTTGATGAGGATCATACTCTTTCTTCATCCTTAAGCCCTGCAGTATCTACTGTGCACCTTTGTATAAATGACAAATGCTTTGAAATTTTAACCAATAATTCCTACACCAACCTGGTCTACAGAGTGAGTTCCAGGATAGCCAGGGCTACACAGTGAAACCCTGTCTCAAACAAAACAAAACAATCTATACAAATATGTCTGTAGCCTCTTCATTTTCCTTGTGACCAGGTTTGTTGAGATTAAAAACACATAGATGCCCGAACCTAATAAATAGTCCATTGTTATCAAATGTTATTGCTGGGCTGAATGTGAACATTACAGAGGCATATGTTTTATTACCTGAAGATGTCCATTCAGGGATGTAAGATTAAAGGACATAGATTATGGAGACTCTAAGGCCAAGCAGAAGGTTTGGGAAGCAATGCAGTAGGTAGGTGATCAAGCCCATACTTGAATCTGGATATTTCCCTAGGTCTGAGCCTTGCAGTGTGATTCCCTCTGTCTGGAACGTTTCCCCTCCCTTCTCTACTCTGCTCCTGTTCGTGATGGTTCAGTTACATCTCCTTTATCTCTAGTTCCTCTAGACAGAATTATTGCTATGTATCATGTTTTCAAAAATCTTTGCACAGTGGTAGTGCAATTCTGATTCTTTTTAAATGACCTTGAGTTTCTCAAAAGACACAGACAAAGAAGCTGATTTTTCTTCAGCATCTTGCATGGAATATTGTACATAGAAAAGTTCAGCAATATTTGTAAACTAGAAGGAAGAGAAGAGATCTGATAAGAAAAGTCTGGCAGATCTTGAAGTAGAGGTTGGAGTAGGGAAAAGAAATTGGAAGTCACTTGAACTAATCCAGACACGGAATGCTGAAAACTGGAAAGGGCAGAAAACTGAGTTTCTTTTGGAAAGACTGACAGGTTCAGGTGGCAGATGGGTGGATAAGTAATAGTCCAAGATAACTCCAGTGTTCCCAGGATTGAAGATCAGCAACAAGCAAAAGATCAGTTCACTGCCAAGTCCATAGATAGATGTTGACTGCCTGTCAAGTTCAGAGCAATGTGCTGCGTGACAGAGACGCCACAGGCCAGTATTTCCTCTCCTAGTACAGCCTGCTCAGCCTACTGACCAGTAGGGAAGCTGAGGGGCACAAGTTCAATTTTGGACAAGTTATATTTGAAATAATGGTTGGACAGTCAAATGAATTGGTGCCTTTATTTGCTGGAAATCAGAAACTAGATCATCCTTGAGGCTAAGAAATATGTTTTGTATACTGTTGAAAATCCCATTGCTATCCACTATCACTGTGCTTAAAAGATAATAGATTTCTGTATTAGGTCATCATAACAAAATGCTACGCACTGAGTGTCTTAAACAAAAGGAATTTGTTATCTCACAGTTCTGGAGGGTAAAGTTTCTCCCAAAGCGCCTCTCTTTCTCTGGGGATGGCTATATTCTCCCTGTGTCTTCACATGCTCATTCTCCTATGTTTCTGTGGCCTAATTTCTTCTTATAAAGGCCATAGATATACTGGACCGGAGCACATCCTAATAACCCCATTTTAACTTAATTACCTCTGATGTGCAAATATACTCACAATCTGAGTTTCTAGGAGTTGAGGCTTCAGCATATGAATTTAACACACTACAGTTATAAGTACTTCTTGAATTGAATGGACTATATTCACAGTGACAAGTCAGGGCTCAAGAGATACAGCCACACATGTTCTGGAATATTTAACTACGTAAAGATGAGTTACATTTGTTTATGCTGGGGGACTATTACATTCACTGTGTAAAGGTGTGTCACATTTGTTTCTGCTGCCTTTGTTAATGATGTAAAGATGTGTTACATTTGTTTATGCTGTATTTTGTTTAATTATGTGAAGGGTGTTGCATTTATTTTCCCTTAAGTGCTTAAGACACCTGATTGATCTAATAAAAAGCTGAACTCAAGAGCTGGGCAGGAGAGGGGTAGGCAGGGCTGGTGGGCAGAGAAAATAAGTAGAAGGAGAAATCTAGAGGGGGGAGGGGAGGGAAAAGAAGGAGGGAGAAAGACGACACAACTGGGACCAGAGGTCAGGCATCTGCCAGTCTGATATGGAGAGAGCAGGAAGTAAGATATACAATAAGAAAGAAAGCTTAAAAAGCCGTGAGGCAAAATGTATATAAAGAGAAACAGATTAAAATAAGAACTAAGAAAAGGCCAAGCATTTGTAACTAACAAGGAATCTCTGGGTCATAATTTGGGAGCTGGTTGGTAGCTTAAAAGAAAGTATATAACAAATTTTTGTTGACATTATAATACATAACATGCTCAATGGTGTGTTTAACACATTACCTAGCAGTATAGAATCTATTGCATGGCAGTGAACATGATAAATTAGTACTCTCTTTCCATAAATCCTACACATTCATCTGGGTCTCAGATTTTTATTGACTAAATAAATATGCATCTGTAGTATGCCACAGAAGATGTAAACAAGGAACTCAATCTGTAGAAATTAAATTATTAAATTCCTCATACTTAATGGCATACACACACACACACGCAATTTAGAGACAAGCTATGTTTTGTGGGAAGTTTTAATTATTTTATCAAAGACAACCTTTGGTTGTCCTAGTATTGTCTACCTATCATTTACCACTTTTTTTGGTAGAATTTATCAAGGGGACTAAAGATTGAATTAAAGAATTATTCTCTGCCTTTGTTGCCTTGTAGCCTTATTTATATGATTCTTTAAACAGTGTGAGAAAAGTCACTTGACAAATGTGTCATGGAAAAACAATAAACAGATGACAGCTGATATTTAGAACTTTTGTTCAGGCACGTCCTCTGAGGCAAGGCTCTGCCACAAAATATGGTTCCACCCAAGTGCCGTCCTGGAGCCGTCAGTCAGGCTCCTTGAAGGCCTCGTACTGTTGCTCCTCCACTGTTCCCTCCACTACCACCCTGCTCCAAACTTTCAGTACATCAGACAGGAGCTTGTGGGCATGCTCGCTCCCAGGCCTCTCTCTTTCCTTTGAAACACCTTGCATAATATCCTAATCAGTCTTTGCTGCTATCAGAACTACTTACAAAGTTTTTCCCCAAACAAGCTAACCACAAAAAAAATATGTTATTTTTACTTTGAAAATGCAACGTTACTTTTCAGGCAGTAGTGGTACATGCCTTTAATGCCAGTACTTGGGAGACAGAGGCAGGCAAATCTCTGCATACGAGGCCAGCCTGGTCTTCAGAGGAAGTTCCAGGATGGCCAGGGCTATTATACAGAGAAACACTGTCTTGAAAAAAAGAAAGAAAGAAGGACGGAAAGAGGGGGGGGAGGGAGGAAGAAAGAAAAGAAAGTGCACCCTCACAAAGCATTATTAACAGTGTTATTCTAATATTGTTAAAAAT